TACTTTTGAAATAGATAGAAGATTGTGTCTTGAAATCAACAAAGATAAATGTCTTTGATGAAATTATAAATGCAGTTGTTGCATGGTCAAATTGATGTGAAGCTACAAACTATTGCCAATTGTTTTAATCATTACAAAATTATGTAACAAATTAATGTGAAGCCACATACTATTGTCAATTATTTTAATCATTATAAAATTAGGATCCCCGATATTGATGAATTGTAAGTTACAAATAAAGTGAATGAGTAGAATCAAAGAGTAATTGTAGAATTGAGTGATCGGATTCGACAACTTCATTGTACTAATCGAATAGATATTAATATCTTTTTCAATTATCTAAATGAGTAATAAGTCATGTATGCTTTAACTAGGGAAAAAATCATTGCTACAATCGGACAAGAAGATAAAGGAAATAATCATGAGGATGATAATACGGCAATACAAAAGTTTTGTGCCAAAAAGCTCTAAACATACTTGAGAAGCTAGAAATATTTGGCTTTAATAAGAAGATGTTCATGCTAGTGAGTAATCTACCCCTAAGTTAAAAGATGTGATAACAACTCTGAAGCATAAATCATTATTACTCCAACAACTTTAGATAAATATTTTATCATCTTAAACCTTTAATAGAGGGGGAACAAAGGGTCGGTTAGGCGGGTCAACCCTAACCCAACCAGCATCAAGTCGGGTTCACACCGACCTGCCACCCGCTGGCGGGCAAGGTTCATAAACCAACCCGGCGGTCGGTGGGTTGATATTTTTTTTTAAAAAAAACCATCCAACCCGCCGGTTGGGGGTTTTCAACTCTTGTGGGTTGGACAAAAAAAAATTAATATTTTTTTTTCAAATACCCTTTTTACCCTTGAAATAAAGCCGTTTTAAGCAGTGGAAGGGTCTTTCTGATCATGTTCTTTTCCCCTTTTTTTTTATAAATAAGGCCTAAACTCTTATATTTCTCACATCCCAAATTCTCTCATTTTCTCTATTGAAATCTCTCAATTATTATCTTTGTTGTCATTGCTCTCATTTTAATTTTATTAGTTTTTGCAATTTTCAATTCATATTTCCAAATTCCAATTCTCCTTCTTTAATTTTATTTCTTTATATCAATTTTTTTTTTAACTTAATGGATTATATTTCCATCCCATCGATTTCGATGATGAAGGAAATTATCATAGTCCCGCTTTCCCATTCTCGGAATCCAATACACCTCATAATATTCTCTCCCTTCTCCCCATAGCTACAGCTCCCGGTGATTCTAGAAGTCGTCTCGTAATCGTCGTCCTGTCCAACTCCATCCAAGCAGAAACGGGTTCATCAACTGCAGTCAAAATTGACGATAGGCACACATAAGACATTGGGTGCATTTCGATAAGTTTTACGAGACAAAAAATGGAGTTCACATGAAGAAGAAAGTAAGATGCAAGTATGTGGAATATTTATAAAGTTGATGCAAGTAATGGTACAGTACTTTAAAATGCATGCTAATAAACATGTACTCAACATGGAAATACAGAAACCAATCAAACTCAATAACTAATGTGGGTACTATTTGGCGTTATAGTTCTGATGTATATAGGGAACAATTAGCTTTATATATTGCTGCAATAGATCAACCTATTAATATGGCTCTAAGATAAATATTTTGAAAGATTTATTAAAAATCATTTTTTTCAGGATTTAAAAGTTATTCTAAAACTGTAATTAGAAATGATTAATAAAATTTTTTGGAAATGAAATTGTAATTAAAAAATAAAATACATAGTTGTTATGTTAGTGTGGCCTAACCACCGATATTTGGAGTGGTAGAGCTAAACAAGATTATATTGTGTGGCTAGTCATTATTTGATAACAAATGTAAATTAAATAACTTTATTAGGATTTAGATTAATGGATGTGGATCATAGTGGTCAACAAATTATAATAAAATTGTTGAAGTATTAGAAGATTATGACATTGTTCATAAAGTGATAAGCTTAATTTTAGATAATGCAATTTCAATAGTAGAGCGATAGATTTTTTAAAATAAAATTTCTTTTTATGATAATTTGAAGTTTTTTCACCAACGATGTGGCAGTACATATTAATTTAATTGTGAAAAGTGGTATAAAAAAAAATAGAAATAATATTGATAGAATTAGAGATTCTTTAGCTTGGATTACTAGTAGTAATAGAAGAAATGTTGAATTTCAAGATGCTGTATAAAATCAAATATGTCCCCTAGAACTTTTGCATTAGACATGCCTGTTAGATGGAATAATACTTATTAATGCTGGATCATGTTTACTTATGCAAATTTAATTGGTTATTTTGTAGCAAATAGTAGATGTTCTCATTATTTGGTAGAAAGACTGACATAAATATATTATAGTATCATATAATATTTTTGTAATTCTTTTTCTAAATTTTTTATTACTTTAAATTTTGGGTATACCTAGTAGTCCATTGGTAATACATACAATTATAAAATTTTAGATTATTTAAAAAAAAAAAAACAGAAAACATAAATTTTAGCGGGACCAATAGAAGCAATGGAATTAAAATTTAAAAATATTGAAAACCCATTCTTTTCTTTATTGTTTAGTTGTCATATTTGATCCTAGAATAAATAGCACGTTTAGAAAATGGTTTAGACACGTTAAGTGAAAATTTACGAGATATAGCATATGCCAATCAAAGGGGAGATATGAGAGTGTCTTGTAGAGGTATATTTGCAATATGAAAATAGGTATGAGAACTAGTGAAAGGGTGAAATACCCGAGAAAGTAGCATAAGAAGAAAACAATGAAGACTTCGACTCAGGAGTGCACTTAATAGGTCAAAGAGGACGAACCGAAACACAACATCATATTCAGAAGCATCAACAACGAATATATTGTCTTTATGCAACTACAAAGTAATAAGCTTCACCAATATTGGGAACCCCGACGTGCTACAGCATATCCACAACAAAGAGCCAACTTGATATCTTGGAATATTAGAAAACTAGAAAATATATTTTTCCAGTATTATCAAAACTTGCCTGAATGTTTTCTTTGTTCTGTCTCAACCATCTCATCCGAACAAACATTTAGTGCAAGTGGAAGAACATTTCAATACTCCTCAATGTCTTCGAGATGGGAACGGTCGCGGCATCGGATCAATACGAGGTTGTAGACAATACTTTAATAAAATCTCAATTTTGTAATATAGATGATACGAATGAGGAGGTTCTAGTCAACCCCAAATTAGTTGTTTTGTAAATTATAACTTTGTAACTTGTAAATAATTGTCAATTATTGCACTCTTTTTCCTTATCAAGTTTTTATCCCAATTGGGTTTTCTTGGTAAGGTTTTTAACGAAACAATAATTATTGTATTTTCTTATTTCTATTTTATTTTTTGTAAATGAAAAATTTATTTTTTCTATATTACAATTAATTTTATTAAAATTAAATTAATATTTGAAATGGTAACCAAAAAAAATTAGAGCTAGCCTAAAACCTGCCGAGTTAGGGTGACGGGTCGGGTTGGGTCAGCCTTTTGGCCAAGAGGAGGGCCGGGTTAGCATAACCCGCCGCTAGCTGGGTCGATGGGTTATTTTTCACCTTTACCTTTAATGTAACATAGTTATATATATAATATATAATATATATATTCTAGTGGAGGCAACTTTTCTTAGAGGAATTAGAAAAATATAACTTATTACAATGTAGAGTTTATCTATTTATATTTATCTCAAATTGGAATATAATTTTTTTGATTTGTGAGTTTATCTATATAGAATATTACTATAGAGAGTTTTACTATATTAAAGAATAAAAAATTTATTGGACTCTTTTTTTAGAAAAACTCTTTATAATAAATTTTGGGTTATATAAAAGTTATTTTAAGATATTTTAATATTTGATGACTAGGATAAATCGTACATATTTTTTTCTTTTACTATTGTGGTTGTGTGTTTACTATTTTTGTTTTTATTACTCTTGATTGTTTCACTTAAAGATTTTCTTAAAACGTGTTATCAAGTCTAAGCAGGAGGTTATGGTGGAAGCACATATTATCACCTTTCAATAAAAAACACAATCAGCAGAGTTTAGTCTGCAAAAACAAGGCGAAGTATTTGAATTCAAATGTAGTGTTTTCTTTTTTTTTTTTTTTTAATGAAAAAGGTTCGTTAATTAAAAAAAATAAAAATAAAAACTAGTTAAGAACACATAATGAACCTTATCTCTTAAAATGAAATAATTATTACCATTTAAAGAAAAAAAAAAAAACAAAAAAATGTATATGAGAATGGACACGTGAGGTTAATAGTAAGTTATCAGCATTAGGCAAAAATACTTTTCACTCTTGCATGCTACACTATCGGATTTAACCAAAGCTTACTAAATAACATGAAAGTAGTTTCGAAGAATTTTGATTTCAAACTTTAATTTTACTTCCAAAGATAACATGCTTCATAGCAAGCAACCCAATTTACAATAATAGAACATTCTTCAAAAGAAATAGAAAAGAAAACCATAATTAAAATTACATAAATGAAGCAACCATAGAAAATTTATCAAGGAGAATAGAGAGTTGGCACAAGATGAAGGGAACTTTCCGATGAATGGTTAAGCACAGCCTCAGTCATGTCCAGTTTGTCCTCAGTTATACCAGCAGGCAACTTCCAGTCCAACCAGTATAAAAGGTTTGCAATCACATACAACTACGCAACTCCAAATGGCATCCCAGGGCAACCTCTTCTCCAGCACCAAATGGGATGAATTGAAAGTCTTGACCTTTGAAATCAACCAGTTGTCATAAACCTCTCTGGAATAACTCTTCTGGTCTGTCCCATGTTCCGGATCCCTTTGAATTGCCACGCATTAACATACACTTAGTATTAGCAGGAATATCATAACTCCCATTTTCAACTTCCTGTTGTTTCTCGCGCGACTAGAAGAGGAAGTGATGCACGTAACCTCAGACTTTCTTTGATGACACATTCACATATTCCATCTTCTCGATGTCATTCATATTATCTTTGATTTCTTCCCCACCACATTTCTCACCTCTTGTTGGGCTCTCTTCAATAGACTTGGATTCTTTACAAGTTCTGCCATCAACCATTCTAAAGTTGTTGAAGTTGTATCAGCTCCTCCCAAAAACATATCCTGAAACAGAGAAATTGCAAGAAAAGTTGAGTACTATGCGTGTTGCGTATGCGCCTGAGTGAGAGAGAGAGAGAGAGAGAGAGAGAGAAACCATAAGGATCGCTTTAAGGTTGTCTTTATTGAGCTCTTCAAACGTGCCATCCTTCTGAAGTTGGAGAAGTATATCCACGAAGTCTTTCCTGTCAGACTGTTTACCATCTATTTCTTCTATCCTATGTTCTTCAATCACCTCATCAAGCAAAGCGTCTAATTCCTTAAAAGTGGCCTTAAGACGACCGATGAGTCCCGTGGCAACATCTACCCATCCAAAAGACGGAAACATATCTCCAACACAGAAGGATGTAAATTGTGACATCAACCTCTTTGCTAGCTCCCCAAACTTGCTCTTACCATTTTCCTCTTCAGCTCTCCTTCCAAGAATGCAGCGGGATGCTATATTGTCCGAAACGCCTACTAGCATCGCACTTAAATTAACAGAACCTCCCTTGTAATATGAACCGCGAATTTTATTGATCAAAACTGCTAGTTCCTCCTCCCTTACATACTGAAATGATTGCACTCTTTTGATACTCAGGAGTTCAAGAACACAAAGCTTCCTAAGTTGTCTCCAATACTCACCATAAGGCGTGAAACCAAGATCTGTGCAATTATAAAGGAAAATATTTGCAGTTGTGATTCTGGGGCGGTTGAGGAAAAAAATATCATGAGTCTTCATCATTTCTCTAGCCATCGCAGCTGATGAAACAATGAGAGCCGGAGCTTGACCGAAGTGTACGAGCATCAAAGTGCCATACTTCTTTGACAGGCCTTCAAGAGTGCGATGGAGAAGAGGATCTAGCAGTTGGTGAAGATTGCCGATTACGGGTAACTTTGGTGGGGATGGAGGCAAGTTGAGTTTGCTCCTTGTTGTGAGTTTAAGCATCAGAAGAACGGAAAGGATAAGTAGAATCGAGAGAGACAAGGGGTTTTGCAGAGGTGTTGTGTCTAGCTCTGCCCAATATTGCTTCAAGAAAGATACCATCGGAGCCATTTCCATTTCAAGATTTACAATAGGGACTGACCAACACAACCTTGAATCTTCATACATAAGGATTTATATCTCCTGTACTGTATAGTCGACGACTACTACAAATTTTTATAGTAATATTACTGTACAAATAATTAAAGAACCGACCATGAGAAATCATGTGAAACACTAAAAAGATTCTCTTTTATTTAAATTTTTAATTAACATAATAAAATGTATAATGATCCATCCAATCCAAGAGTGGTTGCTGGCTTTATATTCTAAACTCATTTCGAAGGTAAACACTGTCAACTAGACAACATCTGCCAATCAATCGGGAGAAATATTTATATATGGCAGTTTCAACATCTAATTTGACATCTAGTGAATCCTTCCAATAATATAGCGATATATCACGAATTTGTCAAATTTTCTCTTTTATTCATCCATCATTGTAATATTAGCTAGTTGATTGTCCTTACTATATATATATATATATATAAAGCATGAATTTGCAGCAAATTTACCTCCCAAAACTTGAAACCGTAAATCGAAAGAGACTTTACAAATCAAACCATCGTATAACCAAAGAGAATCCTGAACTGAAAAAGATTTTTTACATCCACATTGTTGTGTAAATGAATACAAACCCCGTTTATAAATAACCAATATAAGTTGGCAACACAACAGAATGCAGATGACACACACTTGTCATCGTGACATTATATGGTTCTAATTTAATACCTTTTAACTTTGTAATATATGTCATGTATCAAATTGACTTTCTTAGATTTTGATTTTCATAAAACTACACAGATATATTAAATTGACCTTTTAAATATTATAAAAAATTTCACAACTACGTACTCATATATCCTTATATAATTTCAATACCAATATTTGATCAAATCCAATGAGTTTTTTGTATAAATTTTATTTCAATTGCAAAAACAATAAAATGAGTAAAAATTTATCTCTTTTTATTTGTTTTCTAAACAAGGTATTCTTTAATATCTCAGAAGGTTAATTACTTAATATCTCAAAAGGTTAGGATTAACAAAAAAAAATTAACCAAAAAAAAAAAATTGATGATGTGCTATTAAGATTCTACCGCAAAGGAGACCTGAATCTATGAGTGACCTTTACAGGGGGACAAAAATAAGAAGATGGTCAAGAACAAAATCTTACAGAAATTGGAAAGTGAGGAGATTAAGCAATGAATTTTATTCAGAAATTAATCAATGAATATTATTCAGAATCGGGTTTTGGGCTCCCACAATGGGCCATGAATTTATTGTTTCCGTCAAGATTTTTTATTTCCATGGTTAGTATTTTTTTTCAATTGTATGCTGAAGATTAGGGATTAAATCAAAATGACAACACATTTTTATAAACAATAATATTATACTTATAAATAAATCTTACAAAGATTTCTATACAAAGTGAGATGACAAAAAGTGAATGGAAAAGTGAAACAAAAAGTCAAATTCATTAAATTCACTCTTTCATTTATTTTTTGCCACATCACTTTGTATGGAGATTTTTGTCAAATTTCTTTGTAAGTGTAGTATTACTCATAAAAATAATTTAAAGGATACAAATATAAAACACGTAATCATATAAAACCATTTAAGTTTATAAAGGCTCAAAAAAACAGAGAGCAAGAATATAAAAACTCAGAAAACAAAGAGCAAGAACAGCTTTAAAATAGAGGACTGAAGCATTGTATTTTTCATTGCATTACATCTGTCCTTACGTCTACAATTTATAGGGAAAAGAAGACAGGAGCAATCCCTATTCACAGACATCTCAACCGCTCAATCTATAGTACAGAGCTTTTACTCTAGCCATTGGATTGATTTATGTTGATGCAAGTTGCATTGGCAACTTGTCAATTTGCATAACAGATGGATTACAACTTGTCAACTTGCATAATAGTTTCAGCCGCAACTTGTCAACTTGTTCAACTGATTTTGATCCACTTCCAGTTTGTTGGAGAGAAAATGCAAAATGTGTTGATATCTAGTAAACGAAAACTTTAACTGCTTGAGCGGAAGTTTGTTACAGTTTACATCGTCCCTCAAGTTGAAGTTCAAGCAGTCAATCCAGACGAGTTTGTAAAAAGAAACTAGTAAAAAAAATCATTTGTTATCTTCCTGATCGTCCCTCAATTCAAAGTTTGCAGCTTGCCTTAAAGCTGATCGTCCCTCAAGCAAGAACGAGGAAGAGGGAGCAGAGGACGCTAAGTGAATGTAACACCCAACATGGAGGTATATGATTTAATTTATGTTTTTATAGCCCTTAGTTAATTTTTGTTAAAGTGATTTTAAGAGAATAGGAAGAAAATGCCTTAAACTTGCATTAAGGGTAAAATGGTCTTTTCACTCAAAATTAGTTGAAAAAGTGGGAGTGAAAAGAGATAGAATTTCATAGGGAATGCATTAAAAATGAGGGCATTATGGTAATTGACTAAGGGACATAGATAGAATTTCTAAGAAAGAGTAAGGGCAAAATTGGAAAGTGTGTTTATCAACTAAAGTGTTAAGGGTTTGAAACCCTTATTTTCTTCATTCCACCGCCACACTACTCCTCCATTTTCTCTCAAATTTTCATTCAATCCTCTAAGGATTTTGAGGGCTTTTGAGTGATTTTTCATAGGGTTTTGATTTTAGGCTTCAAAAGGTAAGGATTTTTACTCTTTATCTATGATTTATTTATGTAAAAGTTGAGTTCTTATGAAGTTTATGCTTAGGGTTAAGAGAAGATTTGAATCCAACAAGAGTAGAGAGCTTAGGAGAGACTACTCAAGCATAAGGTAAGTAAATTCCACTCAAAATCCAACTCAAGTTAAAGTTTAAGAAAATCAAGTGAGTATAGATTTCTTTTAAATATGCATATGTTATGATTATTGAGAAATTGAGATGAGATGGATGATTATTTATGTTTGTTGTTGGATATATTTGAATATGAGGAGTGTATGTGATGGTTTGATGATGGGTTGAAATTGGAAGAATTGGAGAAACTTTTGGGAGTGTTTTTGCCGTGTAGGTATGGTGATGTTACAAGAGAGTTTTTCTCTCAATTTGGATGGTTTAAGAAACAAATAGAATGATAATTACATTAGGGTTTGTTTATGCACAAGTATTGTTTGATGAAATGCCTAAGAGAAGTATGAGTTGAGTAGAAACCTTAATTTTATGCAACATTGCATATGTGCATTTCATAAGTGCATTTAAGTAAGAAATTTTAAGCATGAGCCATCCATATGCATATAATTGTATATGTGTATAAATTTAAGAAAGAAGAAAGAATAAAGAATAAAGAATAAAGAATAAAGAAAGAAAGAATAAAACACTCTAAGAATAAAGAGAAAGGAAGAATAAGCATTAAAGAATGAAAAAGTGTTAAAGAAGAGAAAAGAATAGGTTGTTGTGATGGGGAACCGTGAGTGTTAAGAAGAAATTCCCACATACACGCCACCTTAATTGAGTGGCATAAGAAGAAGAAGAATTGTGCGACCCGTAAGAGTGTATGTGGATGAGGGTTGTACCAAGAAAAATTCCTACATGCATGCTACCTTAATTGAGTGGCCTAAGAAGAAAGAAAAATTTGTACGGTCCGCAAGAGTGTATGTAGATGAGGACTGTACTCACTCACACGGCCAAGGTTTCGGATCCATAGATCAACCGAGTCCAATCGGCAAAGAATAAGAAAAGAAAAAAATAAGATGAGAAAGAATGAGAAAGCTTGAACAAGCAAAGAAAAGAAAAGAAACAAGAAAGAAAAGAGAAGCTTGGGCAAGCAAGACAAGAAGAGAAAAGAAAAGCATAGAAAGAAAAAGAAAAGAATAGAGAAGAAAAGAATAGAAAAGAAAAGAAAAGAAATAGAAAGAAGAAATAAGATGCATTTCTATGCATTATTGCATATGCATCTCATTTATGCATATTCCCATGAATTTTATTATGGTTAGAAAGAATACAAAGAGTAGCAAGAATAGAAAGAGTAAGAAAGAACGAACAGTGAGAATTAGAAACAGAGAAACAAAGAAGAAAAGAAATAAGTAAGGAAAGAATCAAGGAAGAAGAAGAGTTAAGGGATTTACTTACTGAGCATTTTTATGCTCACCTCGTTGTTTTTCCATATTTTGCAGGAAATAGGTGAGCAGCGGTTGGAAGGACGTTGACAAGCGGAGAGGATTGGCATTACTGTCCACCATTGCTAAGTTTTTTGTACTTGTTATTTTGGTATATGTAAAGAATTATATTTTATAAGTAAAGAAAAATTTGGGCCCAACTATTTTCATATACTAATTATGTATGTTTTTATTGTATATATTCTAAAGTATACTAGTAGAAAGAAGTCATTACAGTGAAGTTGATCATAAAGAGCACAAAAACGAGAACCGAAAAGAGGTTTTGTCAGGATGTCATATACTTGAAAAGTAGTGGCAACATATTGGACTACAATTCGTTTGGAACAAACCATCTCACGAACAAAGTGAACATCGATTTCGATGTGCTTTGTGTGAGCATGGAAAACAGGATTTGAAGCGAGAGCTCCTGCACTGGTGTTGTTGCACCATAGAACAGGAATTCCAGGGAGGGAGATGCACAGCTCTTGGAACAAGTTCTGAAGCCAAGCAATTTCAGTTAAGGCTTAGGCAAGTGCTCTATATTCGGCTTCAGTTGAGGACAAGGCCACTACTGATTATTTTTTTGGAACATCGTTGAACCAGGTTGGAACCAAGGAAGATGCAATATTCGATGGTGGATTTTGGTTAGAAATGTTACCAACCCAGTCAACATCAGCACAACCTTCCAGTTGTAAAGTATTACTTTTGGTGAAGGTTAAACCGTGATGAATAGTCCCTTGAACATATCGAAGGATATGCTTGCAAGCTTGCCAATGATTTATTGTTGGAGCTTTAAGGAATTGGCTGAGTTTGTTAACCACAAAGGACAAGTCAGGCCGTATGAGGGTAAGATATTGGAGTGTGCCAATAAGACTCCGATAAATTAAAGGCTGATCAAAGAGTGGACTGTC